TTTGCTTTTAATTCAGCAGAGCTTTTGCAATGAGCAAAATCATCTCTGTATATGAACCCATCCCAAATGAATGGGAAGTATATTAAACTATGTGGGGAAAGTTGATCTCTTGAGGTTTGCTTGCTTATAATAATCTTAACATTAGCCTATCTTCAGTTATTTGGCAATATGAAGTTTAGTATCAGTTCTCAAAGAACATACCGTATTTTCCAGCGTATAAGACGACTGGGCGTATAAGACGACCCCCGACTTTTGGGAAGATTTTCAGGGTTTAGAAAGTCGTCTTATACGCTGGAAAATACGGTATATTTCAATCAGAATAGAGCTGGAATGGACCTTGGAGGTCTTCTAGTCCAACCCCCTGCTCAAGCAGGAGATCCTGTACCCTTTCAGATAGGTGGCTGTTCATTCATTTCTTAAAAACCTCTAATAATGAAGCACCCACAACTTTTGATGGCAAGCTGTTCCATTGATTAATTGTTCTCACTGTCAGGAAGATTCTCCTTAATTCCAGGTTGCTTCTCTCCTTGATTAGTTTCTTGGAAACTAATTCCAAGCTACTTGAAGAAAGATATTTGAAGAAAGAAATTTTATCTGTCCTTTAGTGAATGTTATAACATATGAAAGATGTTAGGTAGTGACTGCAAGTAGTCCTCGACTTAGGACAGGTCACCTAATGACCATTTGAAGTTACAAAGGAACCCTCTCCTCACCTCCAGGGCTACCTATGACCCAGATTCAAAGCACTGACAGCTGCCCTTCGGTCAAATGATCACATTTTCAGGGCTCAGCAATCAGCCCTCATTTTGCTGTGTCTCACTATCACATGTTTGCAAATTACAAGATTTTTGGCCAGAAAGCAGTGCTTACTTTTGGTTTCCAGCAAAAAATACCCATTGCAGAAAATGGATTTGCTTAACAACTGCCCCAAAACAGTCATAAAACTAGGTGCAGTCATATGGTGACCTACTTAACGATTGGCATGACTTACTGTATGATCATAGTCCTCGATTCAATTATGGTCATAAGTCGAGGTCTATCTGTACTAGGCTACAGTGGTCCACAACTGTTTAATAGTTGCCATGTGCTTTTAGGAAACTTAGCATATGTATTTTAGCATTGCTTATTTTTCACTGATTGCAAGACAGTTTTGAGTTTGGCCCAAGAGCACTATAAGTTACATATTCCCCACCACCACCACTACACCTCCTCAAAAGTAACTGCAATACAAGAAAACTGGATATTTAAATTGTGAAGGGGAGGAGAGTGAGCCCTAAAAAATGTCTTTAGATGACGTTTGTGCCAATTTGTTTCTTCTGAAATCTTCAAAACAAGAACTCAGAATTTCAGAATCTCTCTTGCTGCCATGAACTTAGGTTCAAAAAGAGTATTTATTTATTTTTTTTTTACCAAGAATGACTCGCAATAAGTACATAGACAGAAATTCTTAGAACAAACTGGCTTACTTTGGAAATATTTTACTTTCATAAAGTACTAAAGTACTCTTAATAGTTCTGGGCTATAAATGATTAAACCAGAGAAAAGGAAATTGCAAAGGATTACAAAAAATACAAATCTATACGTGGTAATATAGACTACATTTGCTGAAACATTATGTTTATTAATATTGATCTTTCTCTACTTATTTATTTTAGGAAAATGGCCACTGCTTTTTTTTTTTTAAAGAAATATGCCATTTTCACTTTTTTTGAATAATTTTGGTTTACTATTTAATGTTAGAATTCTTCATACTAAAGAATATTTGTGAAACCTAAGCAGGAAAGGGGATTATGTTAAAATTTAGACCTGTGGGACAAAACTATTATAATCTATGTGCCAGTATTGGATGCTACCTTAGTAACATTATTCAACAACTGTTTTGGAGGCAAAAATGTTTTATATTGAATCCTATTCACCTTTTGGATATTGTTCTGTATGAATCTAACAATATGCTTAATAGCTCCTTTTGAGTAGCACAGAAAAGCCAAATCTCCTCTAGGGAGTTTAGATTAGGGTTGGAGGTTATGATGAAGCTTACTTGGGTGCCACCTATGACCTGGATTTAAAGTTTCAACAATAGGCTTCACTGCGTTTGTGTTATCAAACTTCAGGCATTCAGCAACTTGCGATGTTCTACAGTCACATGACTGTTTTACGAGTTTTGCCAAAACCTGCATTCACTTCTGGTTTTTGGCAAAACTGTGCAAACCATTGATTCACTTAACATCCATGGTGTTTGTTTAATGACCACAGCATTCGCTTTGCAATCAAGTTCACTTAACAAAAAAAGGTCACAAAATCAGGTTGTGATGGTTATGATAAAACATATGCCAGGTAGCTCTCCAGCTTGGTAATGACCACAGTAGTAGTACTTGTATGTATAGGTAGTCTTTGACTTATGATCATAATTGAGCTAGAATTATGATCATTAAGCAAGTCATCACATGACCAACTTGGTTTTACATATTTTTAATGTTAAGCGGATGCGGTGGCTGTAATGTGAACCCATCATTCGCAATTGGTGTTTTGGTGGAAACTGGAAATAAACTCCAGTTTCACCAAAAGAGATCATAAATCACAGTCATGTTAATGTGATTTGTTTGCTAAGCATCCAAAATGCAATCACATGACCAAGTGGTGGTAAGGCATCAGAACTTCAGATCTAGGTCACAAGTAGCTTTCTTGGGGTCCATTGTAACTTTTAATGGTCACTAAGCAAGGATTTCCTATAGAGAATAGCCCATTGAATAAGATCTTAGATGGTGAAATCTTTAATGTAATAGAATTTTAGTATACTCCTTCCATCCTGGTTTACTCTTTTTAAATTAGTGATCATCTTTCCATTACCATTCTTTAGCATATCAGTTCAAGGTTGCAAGATATGAGCTCTTTTAGAAGATTTTCCTAGTTTTTCTGTGTATGCTGCCATTTTCAGTGTCTTTACAGATGTTATTAAATAACGGCTTCTCATCTAACAGCTGTCTGAAATTCTTTAAGTTCCTTCCTGAGACCTTTGTCTTTCTTGGCTTTGATTTCCCTTTTCTTCTTGGCAATTTTTACCATTTGTTCTGACATCCAATTTGCTATCTTTTGTATCTAGGTCTTTGGCAGTCCCTTTTCATCCTTAACAATTTATTTGATTTCATTCCACAGTTCCTGTCCTATCACTGAGATTCAGCACTTCAAAGAGATTCTGGAAGTCCTCTCTAAAATTGATAGGGTATATGTTCAAAATGTTGGCATTATTCTTTTGCCTTAGTTTAACTGGAACATGCAAATGAGCAGTTCGTGATCTATTTCACAGTCAAGTTTCAGGCTTAAAATGTACTGTTTTATGATCCATGTTTGTTGATTATGTAACATCAACTCAATGTTAACTCTTAGTGAGCACATAAATATCCTCCATGATGATCTGTACCTAATCTGATCTTCCAAAAGCACATCCATTGCCAATCTGAGTCCATCCACCAGCTTGTTTGACAGCCTTGTATTTTTCCCCTCCAGCCTATTGAATAAGACCTTAAATATCTAATTTAATTAATCATCCTTTTTTGTTTTGATTCATTATTTGTGCAAACTGGTATGTACATTCTTTATTGAATGTCTGATTGAAGCTTAGTACAGTTAATTCAGATGCCATTACTTGAATTATTCCTATATTCTTTGACTTATTCTACAGTTTGATATCTTCTAATCTGTAGCCAGAAGTTCTCTAAGGAGAAACTTGTAAAAAATGTCTTTGTCATATTTGAATATTGTGCTCTCCAAACATCAGCAACAATCACTGCAAAAATAGATCACAACCAACTGAATAATAACGTGCTATCAGGTTGATACTGACTCTTAGTTACCATGTAGATAAATTATAAATTACAACCAAAGGACAATAAATAATCAAGACCTCAAATGTATATCAAACATGCCATAAACTTAAAAGTCCAAAAGACAAACCCAGATTTTATGAGGAAAAGACTAGATTGTGAAAATAAGATTTTACATCTTTCTTGAAGCAAACCAGAGAGGCAGTTATGCTAAGGAAATTTCACAATCCTGACAGTGTTACTGAAAATATCCAAGTGAGTTGCAGCCAAGTTTCCAAGATAAAAACTATGCATTGCATAAGGATGGGGTATTCTAAATGAAGATCAATATTTTTGAATTATGTTCCAGAAATGCTCCTCCGTGTACCTTTTCACATGTTTATCCCTTTGTAGAGCAAGGGTGGAACAATTCAAAATCTCAGACAAAGGTGCTTGAGAAAAACATTAGACAGACACAAAGCCAACTTATTCCTCACTCTTGTCACTATTCCTATCAAATCTGTCTCCTCTGAACACTTATAAGACAAAGGTGGGCTTTGCAACTCGTTTGTTTAAATAATATTCTCTCCTAAGGAAGCAGGAGTCATGGCATCTAACTCAAAATTAAAGCATGTCTGACGTATTTAAAATTATATCTATGACCCCTTATTTTTATGCCCATGTATGAAACTTTTTGCCTGGATAAGTAGAAAGAGGTTTGAATTCTCTTTAAGATAAAACTTAATTGCTTAAGACTTTTCCTCACAGAGACTGTTTTTCTCTTACTTCTCAAGAAGTCTGTTTTTAAAGAATGAATAATAAAGATTCTCTGCTTTTTTTCACACATGCACAAATTAATTCTTTCCTGAGACTGTGTGAAGTGGAATTTAAAGATTAATTTAAAACTCAGAAGAAAATTGTCCTGTGGCATTTGGTAAGATAATCCAAGGTATATAATGAATGTATTGAAAAGCAGCTCATCACCTACGGTTTGGAACAAAAGACATGTAATGATATACAAAAGGTCAGTCTTCTTTACTCATAGTTCTTTGAAAAAGGCGTAAGCCATTGAAGTGGCATCTATTCAGTCCGCAAGCTATATAATACCTTTTTTCTGACCATGCACTATTTTCAAATTAGCCTCATTTAAGTAATATTTAAAGTTTCTTCACTTCCATGCAAACATCTAAACATTGGAGAATGTGTATCTCATCCCATGTATTACTGTTAATTTTTTCTCTTTTGTCTCAAGGGTCTTTGCTTTCTGTTTCTAAGTCTATGAGAAAAGCAGAAGATAATATGCTGCTAAGCACATTCAGCCTTGGAAAGATAACACAGAATGGTGACAAAGCTGGAAAATCTTTTGAGCGTTATAAAATGGAGGACAGCAGTTTTCTGGATGAAGACCGAAACCCACATTTCTCAGTAAGTTTTCTCTGGGTAGCTATTATGTAACACAAATTAGCATTCTGGATCATAAATTTGTAACAAAACATTAGGATAGATTATTTCAGATATGCCAATATATAGAACTATGGTGGCACAGTGGTTAGAATGCATATTGCAGGCTAACTTTGCCAATTGCCAGCAGTTCAATTCTGATCAGCTCAAGATTGACTCAGCTTTCCATCCTTCCAAGGTCAGTAAAATAAGGACCCAAATTGTTGGGGGCAATATGCTGGCTCTGTAAACCGCTTATAGATGGCTGCAAAGCACTGTGAAACAGTATATAAGTCTAAGTGCTATTGCTATTGTTATATAATTAAAATATGAAATATGATTTGAAGTGGCTATTATCCTAAAATCAAAGAAAACAGAATGCTGTGCTATGCTATGCTTTGAATTATATTTGAAAATGTTAATATTGTATTGTATTGTATTGTATTGTAAGTCTTAAGAGCTTAAATGAAATACATGCCTTTCAGCTTTAGTTTAATAACAAATCTGAATGCTGCTCTTATCATCATTAATACTTAAATTTACAAAGAAAAAATCCTTTAAGGAGATTTTGGCCTCACTAAACGTAATTAAACAAATCAATGTTATTTAGTATTAACATCCCTGGGATATATATTAAGATATGTCTTGCTTTGAAAAAAACCTGGTTTTACTCTTGATTTTAAACTAAAAATTAAACTTCAAGATAGCTTATGCTTCAATCAGAAGATAACTCTTTTCTGAAAATGACTCATTGGTTGGTTAAGGTCTAGAATATTTTTATTTTGAATATTTTGCATTATTTTCATCTCTACTTTTCTTTTGAGTGCAGAATATAGGTTATAAACATGACATTAACTATGGCCAGCCACAGAGCCTAAGTGTTAAGCAGCTTCCTTATTTTGAACTGGAGGGACCTATGACTTTTCCATCAAATGCTGAAGTTGAAAATATTGAATCAATACAAGATCGGCGTGAGACAGGAAGTGATGAAAACTCGGCTAACTTGCCTATTGGAAGAAGAGATTTTGATAGTAAGTTATATTTTCATGTTATTGCAAAACAGTAATATTACCTTAATTTGCTGAAATAGTAATTATAACTGTTGAAATGAATAACTGTGGCCACCATTTCTCCAGTGATAAGCAGCAGCAATCTAGGTAGAGTTCAAGGCAAATTCTCAAATTTCTCAGCTGGTTATACTCACTGATGTACTGTATGTGACTAGGTCAGTGATGGCAAACCTTTTAGAGACCGAGTGCCCCAACTGCAACCCAAAACCCACTTATTTATCGCAAAGTGCCAACACAGCAATTTAATCTGAATACTGAGGTTTTAGTTTAGAAAAAAAACCTCATACATTAACATCTTTTGTCTTAAAATTAAAACACAATAACAAAGCTTTCAATGATACTGAAAGGTAAAAGTTTGCATTTGGCATGCTTTTGAACAATGTGATTTTTGCTGTTGTATGCATGCTGATAATTTGTCTAACCTTGGCTTATACTTTGTAAGTTTGAGAACACATGCAGCACTCAGGTCATCTGTTAAGTCTGTTTCTGATGTCAGATTTGATATAATTCAAAGCTGAAAACAGCGCGCTCGCTCTGGAGGCTTAATTTGGCTAGGAAGGGGCTTGAGAAATGGCTTTTTCCTGCGAAAACCTAGCCAAAGAGCGAGGCACACGTGCCCACAGAGAGGGCTCTGCCATAGGTTCGCCACCACTGGACTAGGTGATCTACAGTAAAGTAGTCCTTGACTTACAACAGTTCATTTAGTGACCATTCAAAGTTACAACGGCACTAAAAATGTTACCTATGCCCATTTTTCAGTTACAACTTTTGCAGCATCCCCATGATCATGTGATCAAAATTAAGATGCTTGGCAACTGGTTCATATTTATGACTGTTGCTGTATTCCAAGGTCACGTGATCACCTTTTGAGAACTTCTAACAAGCAAAGTCAATGGGGAAAAAAGATTCAATTAACAATCGGGTTACTAACTTAACTGCAGGAACTCACTTAACAACTGTAGCAAGGTCATAAAATGGAGCAAACCTACTTATCAAATGTCTCACTTAACAACAGAAATTTTGGGCTCAATAGTGGTCATAAGTGTGGCATATGCTGCCCACCATTTCCTTTTGGGCAGTTGTCCCTAAGCTATAATAGCAGCTGTGGGCCACTTTGTCAGCATTCCTCATGCTGCTGGGCCAGTGGTGGAAGCTGCAAGGAGCATCCAGCCAGAGAGAAAGAGAATTGGCAGACTGATGCCTCCAGGTTAGTTCCATTGTTCAGGTGCCCAAATATAAGAGTTTTCCTAAGTTGGCTTAGCAGGAGTGACCCAATCACTTCTCCTTCCTCTCCCTTGAGCTGTCTTTTTTCATCATCTTTTTCATTGCATTCACACAAAAGGTAGTCAAGCTTCTCTATCCAACTCCTGAAGACTTGGGTTGCCTTAGAAACCAGCTAATTTTTTAGCTTAAGCCTGCATGGGAATAAACCAGTGTTTCATTCACCCATGTATATTCAATTTCATCTCTACATATGTACACAGATAAAACTATACTGAGCTGCTACTTTTTTATAATCAAAGGACAAATATAGCAACCAATCATTAGAATATGCTTCTCTGAAAAAGAAAGGATTGGGTTTTTTTTCTCAGCCTTTAAAAATTGTAGGGTTCCACTCAGTCTTTTAAAAAGAGTGACTGGTTAAACGTAAGATAAAAAAGATAACATGTTTTCTAAATATTTATTAGAAAAAATGAGTTAAAAATTCAAACAAGTGAAAATTTACAACATGCCATGACAGATGACAATGTAGTTAAACTTGTTTATAAAAGCATGTACTTGACAGTCAAAACCACATTTTTTTGTGTTTTCTTTAGTGCTCAGATGTATGCTGGGAAGAGTCTATCGACCTTGTTGGCAAGCCTAAAATGACCCTGAAGTGCATCACTTGGAAGAGACAAACCCTTTCCTTCATAAGTCATAGAAACTGTAGTTGTGGTTAAAATATTGCTGTGTTTGTAGAGATTCTAAATATTTCTATGTCAGAATGCAACATGTACAAGTGTAAAGTTACAGTGCATTATTAAACTGTGAATTCTGCATAAAAGTTGATGATTTAATTTTGCAAGTACAGTATATATAAAACTTCTGCATAATCATGATTGCAATGGGAAACTTAATACAAGTCAATTTTTTGTCTTTTCAATCCACTGGCATTTACAACCTAAAGAACTGAGTTAGTTTCGCTTGCCCAGTAATAAGCTTATTTTGGGGTATGGCCTTTTTGGATTTTCTGGTTTCTTTTAGTTTGCTGTCCAAACTATTTGGGCATTTCACCGCAGTCTTTGGTTTCTTATGGTATATATGCTGTGCTGTTTCATTTTCATTAGTGAATATGACATTTTCACTAGTTCTGTCCACCAGCTTCCTCTTTGGGTTCTCGTTCTCTGGCCGGCAACTTAATTTTCCTGTTTCTTTTCTTGTCCTTCCATTCTGACAAACACTTCCAGAACCAGGTCCGAGTGTACTATTTTCAAGTGATGAATTCAGGCTTTCTGATGGTTAAGAAAACAAAACATTTTATAAGGGAAAAAGACTACATTGTTTTTAAAATTGTTTTTGTTGTACACTAGTCACCATTGATAATTTTCAAAAGAGACAGTGTTCCTGTAAATTGAGTTAACTAAGTCTAATTAGTAGAGATAATTAGTTGAAAACAACATTATACAATCTGAGCCATCGCCCTTGACATAAAAAACACTTCAGCAACCACTTCAGAAAATAAACGTGTAAAAAAACAAGAGTACAAGAAACCATTCATTTTAAAAGCACATGNCCAAGGGGCCAGTTGAGACCTACGCCGGGTCAGAGGCCGCAGCGGCACGACTCGGTCCAGTGCTGCGGCTGCGGCCACATCCCAGGCCGCAGCCTGGTGTTCCGCCGAGTCGTGACCTAGCTCCTCAGGATATGGCCCAAGCTCCGTCAGAAACCCCTCTGGGTCCATCAGGCGCCTGGGACGGAACCATCTAGGCGGTGTCCAACCACCAAAAGGTATTACCCGCTACTTTTTAGGAGTCCCAAGTATACTTTATCAGCCATTTAGCTAGACAAATACAAAAAGTCAATCTCGTAATGATACAGGTGGCAGCAGATATTAATTCAGGAGAAAACAACAGCAGAGTCTTGGAAATGTTCAAGATAAATGAACTGATAACTGCATAAGTTTTTATGATTATGGGAACTGCTGCAGTGTATCAATGTTCACTAAGTTAACATCCGAGATATTTTTTGCAGCACTTTCAATGAGGTTTCAGTTATTTACCTCTAAAAGCAAACAAAGAAAATGCCCTAAAACAGCAATAAGCAATGTTATTTTCAAATCTTAAAAGTTTGATTGCCTGTGTTTCATGCTCTAGGTCAAGTGGTTGGATCTCCACAGAGTCTGTTCTAAAAATAGTGCTACTTTATGTGCTCAGAGATGATTCTGTGTCAGGAAAGAATAGAGCGTGAAACCTATGAATGGTGCAAGGATAAGTGGGCATACTTGGATCCAAAGTGAGCAAAGGTGCTTCAGGACTGGTACTCTGACTGCATCTGTCAGTAGCATCTTCCTTATGCTTACTTGGTAGCCATAAGAGTTCAGGAAAATACAGGTTTTGAGTTCAGGAGGCATTAAGGAGACATGTAGTGACACTCTGTCAGTGCCTCCTTAACTAAAATGAATTTTCTTGACCCTACAAGGCTACCATGCAAACTGTGGAAAAGATAGGAGCTCCAGTAAAAAACAGCCAACAGGTACAAGTGAGGTCACCATGCCAAATTCCAACTCCCCTTCCCTGTTTTGGAGCCTAATATAACACACAATATAACACACAAAACCAACATTAACTGCAAAGAGATTGAAAAAAGATCTGTGAACACAGGATGTAATGGGGGGTGTAGTGGGGGGGCTAACAATATGATTTCACATTACAGAGAAATAATAATTAATTTTATATACACATCTACGTGTGTATAAAGGGTTGCAGCCTGAGCTGGATTTAATAAAAAGGAAAGAGATCGTGGACATGATGAACAACACAATAATTTTCCTGTTTTTGAGGAAATGCAAAATTAATGGCAGACGGAAAAAATATGTAAAAAAAAGTAACAACCCTGCTAGTTGTGTCCAACTCTAGGGGCAGTTCTCATCTCCAATTCACACCCAAAGAGCCAGTCTTGTCTGAGGACGCTTCCTTGGTCATGTGGCTGGCATGATTATACGCTGAAGGCACATGGAATGCTGTTGCCTTCCCACCAAAGCGGTACTTATTTATATACTTGCATTTGCATGCTTTCAAACTGCTAGGTTGGCAGCATGCAATTGCTGGACCGTCTTAAAGAAGCTCAGGTGGTTTATTTTCATGACAGTCACTTGATCCGAGACCGTCTTCTGCCGCAGATTGCCTCCCATCGACCGGTACGCTCCCACAGAGCGGGCCTCCTCAGGGTGCCGTCGGCCAAACAGTGTCAGCTGGCGACCCCCAGGGGGAGGGCCTTCTCTGTGGGAGCCCCCACCCTGTGGAACGAACTCCCCCCAGAGATCCGGATTATTCCGGATCTCCCCTCCTTCCGCCGTGCCCTCAAGACATGGCTTT